TGGCAGTGCTGTGTATTTTAAGACATAGCACCTGTTCCTGTATTGGGACTTGAAGCCCATGCTCATAGCAGTCATGCCCCCCTTCCATACTAATGTTTATGTCTGCACAATTTTATACCATAACCCAAGAACTCTAGGAGAGAAGCATTTCTGGAACTGTTTGCTTAATGGTTGCAGAGCGTGCAGCTGAGTGGGTGGATAGAGAGGACTCAAGTCTGGCCTCTCTGTAAAAAAGAGAGCCTTTTGCATCCATTTTGATGTTGAGGATAAGTGATTTGCTGTATACCTTTTAATGAGGGGTTTTTGAATACTTAATTCAAATTGTTATTTGGGATAGGCAGTGCATATAGAGCAACAAATAAAGTTTCCAGATTCTTGAACAAAGTTAGCACTTCTGGGATAAAAGAAGGGGACCCTCTTATGGATCAATCACTAGTTAAAAAACAGAAAGGAATCAATGGACGTTTCTCATAAAGGAAACACTTAAATTACCTGCAGAGAGGTAGCCCGATTTGTTGATGACACCAAATTACTTACAACAGTTTGAAAAGAGTGATTCAGAATTCTCCACACTGGAAGTATGGGCACAAAAATGGCAAGTACAGTTCAAAGTTATACATGTCAGAGCAGAAAAATCCCAGCTTTGCACATATGTTGATTTGGGTTAAACTTGTGGTGGCTATGGATGTGTGATTCTGGTTCAGTTTAAGCTCTGGGAATTTGGTTCTGTTTAAGCTCAGCAAGATTCCAGTATGCGAGAGTGGGGGCTGTACCAGGCTCTTTTCCAATTCTGGAATGGTTTTGCAAATTTTGGAGGCATCCTGTGATTCCTGCAAATGGAAGTTTGTGCCAATTGGATCTGTTTGCGGGGTGGGGGGGATGCTGAAATTTATGCAGATGAAGTTGCAATTTAAACAAATTGTGATTTTTGTGCAAGTGTATTTCTTTGTTATGCAGCCCCACAGAGGTATATTCCCTTCTTTTAAATATCTCTGTCAACTTGTAAGCCTTGTATTCTCCTGCACTACTTAATTTAGACCAGCAGAATCATATTCTGTGATTGTCATACAATATGTCGGTATCTTTCTCTACCCCAAGTGATTGTGTGCACATGTAAGATTGCCAGTTTAAACATTAAAAAATTACAATCACACTTGCACAAATGCTAAGATCCTACCAGTACCAGTGAAAATGCTGCGCAAAGTATCGAGGGACCATGCTGAAGTAGGTGAGCTGCAGTGGATCCTAGATCTAACCCCTGGTCACCACATCTCAAAAAGAATATTGTAGAATTGGAAAAGGTGTAGAAAAAGAACAGCCAACCAAAATTATCATGGAGCTGTAGTAACTCCAATGAGGAAAATTTTAAAAGTTTAAGGATTTTTAGATTATAAAATAGGCAGATGTGGGAAACATGTTTGCATGCACGCACTCACACACAATAAAGTTAACGGATAAAATTATAAATAGTATGAATTAAAAGCATAGCAAGAAGCTTATCTCAGCACTTGAATCTGAGGGTCATCCATTGAAGAGGAATGGTTGGAGATTCAGAACAGAGAAAAAGAAGTGCTTGTTCACACAATGCATAGTTAAGCTATGGAATTTGCTACCACAAGTAGTAGTGATGGATGTCAAAGGAATTAGACAAATTCCTGGACAATAAGACTGTTAGTGGATACTAGCTGTGATGGTTATATGTGTCTCAGGATCAGAGGCAGCATGTCTGAATCCCAATTGTTGGAAAACAGCAGTGGGGGGTTCCTGTTCCTAGGAGCCTCATATTGGCCTCTGTGAGAACAGAATATTGGACTAGCTAACTTGATTTCAGCATGGTTTGGTCTGATCTAGCACTGCTCTTATCACATGCATCAGAAGGTAATAGCAAAAGACCCAGCACAGCTTCACCTCATTTATGAAACAGTGGTTAAGCCTCTGAAAAATAGGAAGGGTTGCCAGTGCAAGGGTTCTTAATAGGTTTCTTAAGAGTAGTTATGCTCACCCCATCTAAGGGTAGTCCAGCACAGTATTTAACAGAGCCTTTTAGAAAGCTCTGTTTGAACTTAAGGAGGAAGTAGACCTCATTCACAGGATTCACCCCCATACAGGTAAATGTGAGAGGGGGATATATTTTTTCCCCTTTCCAACTCTCCAGCATCTTGTCCTAGTGCTTGTTCACACTTCATGCCTGCCCTCCCCCGCACCTGTCGTGAGGAAGGAAATCCAAGATTCCTATGGCTAAGGAATGGGATGATGTACATGGGTGATCTACAACAGCAGGGGGTTGGACTGGATGGCCTTCATGCCCAACTTTACTACTCTATGATTCTTTGAAGGGAAGAGTTGATAAATGGGCAGTGTGCGCATGAGTAGGAAGCTCTAACATTGCATGCTGCTTCATCTATCAACAATTTTATTTGCTTGTATTTTTAAGTGTATAAACTGACTTTCACCCAGAAGGGATAGCAAGGTGTTTATAACCTTAAAAATGCATGTCAGTGAGCTGACAATAAAACTGTATAAAATAGGAAGCATAACAATTACTCCATCTTGTTCTTTGGCTTTTGAAAACTAAAATAATTTCCCCTCTTCTGCTCTGTATACATGCAGGCCAGAGAATAGTAGTTCAGAAAATTGCTGGATCATGATTTTCCATACTTGGACATAAATGCAACTTGTCATACACAGAGCAGTAGTCCTGCTTTTGTAACCTGCTAGAACTCCTGTTTTAAATTGTCTCCCATTGGATCACTTTTCTTGTATCTCTTTGCTAGACAGACATAGAGATACTTTTTGGGAACCCTCTGCCCTGTTCTTTAAAAATGCAGTAGAATTTTGCAGGATGCCCTTTGTTGTCCACCTTCCCTTACAACTTCTATTATGCTGTGAGATGAGCAAGAATCACAAACTATCTTGTTACAATCGCATTACCTACCAGAGCCTTTTTTGAATGTCTGCAATCCCTTTTTCCCCCTTTTCACTGTGGGACTCTGAACATACAAATGCCATCAGGCTTCCTCCCAGCTCTTTTCCCTACCACTCCCACCTGCCTTTTGTAACATCTTCCCGGATAGACTATTATAATATTCTAGGCTTACTCTCTCCTTTTGCTGAATCAGAAAGCCAGCTCTTGCTGAACTAGGTCATCAGGTCTGCTGTGCTCACTTAAGCCCTGAAGCGCAGGTCACGATATTCCTTGCAAAAGGCTTAACCTAGTCTCTTGCTGTTGGAGATTAGGATCTGGCTGCTGTGGGGGTAGGATTATCTTTCTCCTGCCTAATACTGGGTTTCTGATGCACCTTCCCCTGCAACATCTGTTGTGGGCCTGATTTGAGCCAGATACCAGACAGCATCAAAATGGAACTGACCCAAGGTCAGACTTTTATAAATATTCGCTGACGACTTAAAAGATATCAGTGTAGATATTTATATTGTGTAATGGCTGGGAAGCCTTCCTCTGTAATAATTAGTAGAAGCAAGTATATTCCTGGATGCCCTGTGTGGTAAAACGGTTGTAATCTCCTACTGGTTTTTGTTGTGTTGAAGCCAAATCTAGTTTGTTCAAGATTCCTGTCTGTCCTCTCTAGGAATGTGTGGGTGGACATGACTCTCTCCTCTGTTGGTGGCTGTTCAGTGCACAAAAGGCAACAGCAGATTTAACCACTTGGAGTCAGCTGAATGCATACCACACATGTCTGAGTTGTAAACATGGTCAGGAATAGGAAAGCAACTGGCACCTTTGGAACCTTCAGTTTTTTCAGTCCAATAAAGATTGCTTAGCGTTTCATCGGGAACTTCGACGAGTGTTTTTTTTTTTAAAGCCTCTAAAATAACAGTTCTTTGCCCGGCAGTATGCTGCCTTTAAAACTATTTTCAGGCAAGAAATTATTTGAGTGTAATTTAAGCTTTCCAAACAGTTTCCCCTCGCCTCCAGAAAGCAAACTGAGAGTTGTTTATTGCATTTGAGCAGAACATGCTGGGTTGAAGTGTGCAATTACTGACTGCAGAGACACCAGTGCCACTGACTATCCCATTGAGGCCATGAAAGTCATCCAGGTATGCAGAGCATTGTTTTGGACAGGGAGACGCTCTGGGGGCTTTGGATGTCTATGCCCCAGCATATGTTTACTATGCCCCAGCAGTCTTTTGTTCCGTAAGTTGTCCTGTACCACACATTGATGGCATGTCTGTTGTTGGATGGTAATGTATAGGTAGAAGGATTTTACTGGTATATTTTTGGTACTTGGAAGGAATGTATCAATGCCTGTGGGTGACTTAGTGCTTAGAATAAGCTAGCATGTAAAGAAGGAGAGAGAAGCAAAGTGGACAATTAGTCAACAAAGCCTTCCCCAATCTGGTATCCTCCAGATATTGACTCCCAACATCTGGTGAGCTGGCTAGGGACGATGGGGATTGTAGCTAACCACAGCTTTAGGCCTCAGGTTGGACGGAGGTGACTTAACACATCCACATTGCCCTACAGAATTTGTCATGGTGAAGGCAAGGAAATATCCAGTACAGCAACTTGAGCCTGTGAGTGGGTGGCAGTGGTGAAGGAAAGGCCGAGCAGGCGGTGGGTGGTTCTGTGAAAAACCTGTTGCTTTCCAATCTGCTTGCAGAGAGAGGGAGCAGTATGTGGATGTTTTGTAGGCTGAAGCTGCAGACCTAAACTCCAGCATCTGTGTTGCCTCGTGGATGGCCAGTGGGTAGGAGGAGGCTTTGAGTGGGCGTGCAGCTTGAAACAGCACAGGCAGGTTGAATGGAACGTGGACTGTATCTGCAGTGCATACTTGTGAGTGAGCATGACGTTGCATGGCTTTTATTAGGGGCTGTTTTGCTCAGTTCTGAGAAGTTAATGGGAAACAGCAGGGGTGCAGAGCCTGAGGAATGCCTGGTATAAGTGGGAATTGACTTGCTGCACCTCCTGAAGCATGTGTGCTTCTGTTGCGTGGTGTGGGGTGAATTTCTGACGATTAACCCTTCTCCTTGTCACTTTCCAGGTACCTGGTAGACCCCATCCATAAGCCTGGGGTTGGAGCTCTTCCATTGCCACTAGTCTCTTTGCTCTTTGGCTCTCCATGCGAGCCAGAGACAAATGGATGCAATTGCAAGTGCCAGCCTCAAGAGGAAGTTTGATGATGTGGATGTGGGCTCGCCCGTGTCCAACTCTGACGATGAGATCTCCAACAGTGACAGTGCAGACAGCTGTGACAGCGTCAATCCGCCCAGCTCTACTGGCTTCATTCGTAAGTGGATGGCTTATAGCACCTGCCGTAGAACACCGGACACCTGGTGCCCAGAGACTTAGTCTGAACTCTGGCACTGCATTCCTGCAGCAGTTTGTGAAAGTCTTGCTTTATCGGCAGTGCTTATGAGTTTTATCGAATTTATCTCTTTACCATGAAGTCTGATGTGCATTTTCAAAAAGAATCAGCAGTAGTGGGTTTACCACTCTTTGTATTCTGTTTATCTGTTGCCAACCAGGAACAGGTTTATGAGAGCAGCGTTCTCCAAATTCCTTGATACTCTGTCTTGGTAACTTGGCTGCCTATGAGCAATTTGTAGCTTGCATCAGATTGTTCACATATCTAAACAAACACCATAATCTTCAGCTGCAGTGGTTGCGTCTTCTGGGATTGTTGGTTCTAATAACACTTAGGAATGCACAGTAGGTTTCTCTCTCTTAATTTGATCCTGGGAGAATATGTATCCAGGATGCTGCCTGCTTTTTCCCATAAGGGGACATATGCACATAAATTATGTAAGAAGTTGCTGTTTATTATAAGTCCTCAGAGTTTTATAGTTCATAATACTTGATATTTTTCCTCTTATAAAGCTTTAAAAATTGGAAGTAATTGATTGATTATTCTATTTGGCCTGGTGGTTTTATTATTGTTCTTAAGATACTTACAAACTGTTATACATTTTTAATGTTAAGAGTTTTATAGATATTATGTTTTATTTCATTGTGAACTGCCCAGAGAGCTTTGACTGTCGGGCACTGTAGAAAAAGAATGAGTGAATGAATGGCCTGATAACTTACATGATTATAAATTAGGGTAACTTTGTTGAGAATTAATTGCTGAATGTGGTAAAATACTGTTCACACATTTGCTACTACATTTGCTACTCAGATAGGTTTCACATTCTCTTAATTTCACACAATTTCTAACAAACCTAACTGGCAAAAATGCTTCCATGCTGTTGCTTGAAATCTGTTCCTTTTTATAAAACTAAGCAATATTCTTAGGCTCTAGCAGAATTCTGTGGCACTGCCAGTGGTTCTGAGAGAAGCCAAGGATTCATTGGAAGCCTCTTGAGGAGTTTGCAATGAAAAGTTCCCTGAGGAACTCTACTAGTGATCCTGTTTTGCAAAGCACAGCAACAAACTATTCACAGTGTGGTAGTTGCATTCCTGGATCATTCACTACCATAAACGTGGATGAAGCCACACAGGCCCTTCATGGACCGTGTGCATTTCCTAGAATGTGGCAGAATCTTCTGTAGTGCTTAAAGATCAAATAGCTGGCACATCAATATGGAAAATTTTGAAAATTGTTGTGTTACATGATAGTTTGTGTGAACCATAGCATAACTGCAGCCTTGCAGACTTTCGGATACCAGTGGGGAAAAAAGAGAATGTGAGTGATATGAAGGTAGCAGTCCTCTCTGTCTTCTGGCATGTCTCATGTAGTGTGTCTATCCTGCTTTCTTGCCTCTCAGCAACCTCCATCTTGAAAAGGCAGAAACAATTGCGCAGGAAGAACGTGCGCTTTGACCAGGTGACAGTGTACTATTTCGCAAGGCGTCAGGGATTCACCAGCGTGCCAAGCCAAGGGGGAAGCTCCTTGGGCATGGCCCAGCGCCACAACTCCGTACGCAGGTACACCCTTGGGGAATTTGCCCAGGAGCAAGAAGTGAATCACCGTGAGATTCTTCGAGAACACCTGAAGGAGGAGAAACTCCATGCCAAGAAAATGAAGGTATAAATGCCTACACGACTTTACTCACTTACTTGCAGAGGGTTTAAGTTTTGCATTAGGGCAGCGTAGTTGATTGGCTATGGGGAATTCACTTTGTGTACTTGTAACTGTTTCCTCATTCTGTAACATTAACCGTAGTACTTGGCCTCCCTTCCCAAAGGCTTAGGGAAATCTACATGTGGAAAGCGGGCGCCCTGAGCCCTAAGTGGTCACATACCTTTTTGCACCCTGCAAAATTCTTGTTCTGTTATATGCTGTGCTAAAATAAAGAGATATGGTGCCAGATTTACATCTCTGTTAATTTTATACAATTTTCTTTGGGTTGTGCAAATATATCCTGTTTCTCTGCCACAAACCATGGTTCTGTTCCCCTACCACATTATATTTATATGGTACAATTTGATGTGTACTTCCAGAAACAGCCCTTCACATATTTTGGTGTACAAGTAGGCAGTGTTGCTAATGCAAAAAATGCAAGCATGTAATCTCCAGGAATTCTTTCCTGGAGTGAAAGGGCCTAAGCTTGCCAGTGGCTTTCCCACCAGGACTTGGTGATGAAGGGTCACTTGAGCATGAATTAGCTTGTTGGTTAAGGCACAGCAATTCCCTAGCTGTTTGCACCCTAGCAGTAGAAAGAGGAGGCATGTATTGGTGGCTTGAGTTGATTCTCCTCTAGTGACCTGGCACCAGCTTTTCCACAAGCCTTCTGTTTTCTGTCAAGCCGATTTATGGGAAAGCTTAGCAGTTGCCGTGAAAGATACTGGGTTGTAGTCTGCCCCCTAGGCATGAGTGTCTTGTTCTGGTTCTCTCTGTATCTTGCCTCCTGGCTGTCTGGTCTGTGTGTCCCATGGGTTGCCTAGCAACTGGGTTTCCCTTACCAGACTGGATGCTTCTGTCTAAAAACCTAGAATTTCTGATCATTCTCTCGCTGCCATGACAACCAGCTTGGCAAAAGAGACAAATACCCATCCTGTAGTCCTTCAGCTGCTTCCTTCCTTGTAGCCTACTTCTCACACAGAGGCAGAGGTCAACCCGTCTTAGTTACTTCAGGTTAAGATGTGGGCTCCCATGTTTAAGTTCTCATCCATACCAAAACATCAACACCATACTGTAGATAATTAGTGCATTGGAAAAGGGCTAGACTAGAACCCTTCATCCTGGCTTGTTAGTTTTCTATGGGCAGGAATTTATTATTTTATTCTGTATTGCATGGAGGAGAACTGAGTTATATATAGTCCCCCAGCTGAAATCTTCAGTGTACTTCCAGAAACAAATCTACTTCTTCCTCCAAGAAAATGGGGCCTCTGTTATGCCTTCTCCAGCTCCTGTGGCTCTAAGACCCAGTCACGATGGATAATTTGAGTTTGCCAAGACAGTTGAGAAACGCTTGGGTGTGATCACAGAAACCAAACACAAATAAAAGAGAAAATTCCCACCGAAAGTTGAGCAGGGCAAGTGTAGCCCAGTGTGCCACATCTGCTTGGACTGCATGCCCTTGATGGCAGGCTCTTTCTGCCAGCGCGGTGATTATGGCCTCCCGTGAGGCTGATAACAGTGAGCTGCAGCACGCATCATCGACTTTGTTTGTTGCTTTTGTGTCTCACTTCCTCCAAGCGGTGGGTCGGTTTAGTCCTGCAGCAATATTGTGGCTTGGCCCAGCAAACAGTATGTTCAGCAGAGATTCTTAGATCCCAAACTGAAGCTCTGACAGATGTAGCCATTGGACCACACTGGCTCCCACTGCATCCCACTGAATGTGAGGAGATGGGAGATGGAGTCACTGCTCAGGTAGTGTTGCCATGGCCTCAGTCACTCAGTGAGGCTTCGTTGCATCACGTCTCTGAGGACTGGTCTCCCTGTAATCCTGTGGCTAGTCTGATGAAATAGCTTCCACTTGATTTGTTTGTGCTGTCAGCTCATTTTGCCCTTGGCGGTACTGTTGGCTGTGAGAATGTACACAGATCAGAGGCAGGAGGGAGAAAGACTGGAGGAGAAGCAAAAACTTCTGTGTACAGGTAGAGGAGAGAAGGGCAGCTGTCCTCTGTGGAACTTCATAATTTTGGTGGTGCTGGACGCCAGATCATTAGTTCAGTTGTGTGCGTGCACAGCGGTCTCCTGGGAAGAAGTTCATGGATCTACTGGGGATGTTATAAGTCACTTTTTAAAGCTGTGCCTAAGTATGCCAGAATCCTCTATACAAAGCAACCCTACTGCATCCTTTTCATCCAGCACTTCTGGATGGCACAGCTCCCATCATACTAAATTTGTACATGCCTCTCATGAAGGCTTTCATTCTTGGTGTCATTGCCTTGAAAAGTGCAGGGACTTGCTTTCATGTCACTCATGTCTCAGATGTCTTCTGACTCTTGCCTAAAGAACAAGTGGTAAACACCTCTGGACAGTGATCTGCTCTTTTGCTTGTGTTGTTCTGTAAGGCACTCTGTACATTGATGGCGCTGTATAAATAACCTAAAACTGAAAGGCTGGCATGCCCTAGGAGCCAAGGTGAAGCTGAACAGCATTGGCTTCTTATTTTGTGTTGTTCTCTGGGGGAAGCGTAGAAGAGCACCACCATTCTGATCTGCAAGGAGAATGAACTACGAGTGTGGAAGTGATACAAAGCTGCTTTGTAGCAAGCTGACCCATATAGCAGAGTATGTCTGTGCTGCCTGAGAAACCACTGTCCTGGGCTTCAGGAGGGGGCAGTTCTTTTGAGCCCTCCCTGGAGACACCATAGATAAAATATGGGACCTTCTGCATGTCGAGCAGGTGCCCTGCCAGTGTGCTAAGGCTCTTCCCTTGTGTGAACCTGTGTATTGCAGAGGTAGACTCACTGGGGAGCTAGAAACTGGCTGCCACTCTCTGCCTCTGTGCCAAGCCCAGCTTGCTTGACATATAAAGCATGAAGCGGGCCCAAGGGCTGACAGCATCTTCTCTCTGCTTGTTTTCAATACTCATTTGTATTACTAGCATCTTGATCTGGGTGAGGGAGAAGATGAATGGCTAGGAAAATCCTTTCTAGCTCTTGGAAGGGTTGGGACATACCTTTTCAAGGACGTATGGACATAACTGCGATCGTCTGCGCTTCACAAAGCCCTGCCTGTATTCTCCAAGCAACTTCCCTGTTGCCAACAAAGAGCATTTACCTAATGTTGCTTCACGTTAAAGATGTAGGTTTTCAGAGCATTTGGGATGTCCTAGCTTAAGGCTAGGCCTGCTGGGGAGAAAAGAGATGGGAGGAGAAGAAGCGGGTTGGTGGGCCATAAGGGCTAGTGAATGTTTGCTGTGGCAGAGTTTTTCCTCTGGGCAGGAAACTGAGCCCCCATCTTTTAACTGCGAGAATGCCTGCCAAGCCTTCACCAGACAATGCCTCTGCTCCCAAACTTCCTTCTGTAGCACACAACAGCCAGGGTTGCGGGGCTTTTTGTTTGTTTACTTATTTTAAAGCCAAAAATTCTGTGCTATATACCGCATCCTGCTTTTATGCAGTAGCAAAATGCACGGATCTGTGGCATCAGCACAACTCTGGCTGGTCCCCTAAGTTATCAGTGTGGTTGTTTCTAGGGGATTATGGTGGATCTTTCAGTGCTGCTTTGGGATGGGTGGCTGTTGCTGCACATTTCAGTCCAAGGCAGTTGCTCTGTCTTTTTGAAATTTGTATACTGCGAAGCTGGATGTAGTTTGAGTGTTCAAGGTGAATTTTGCTCGTGTGTCTGCGTGTATTGATTCCTTCTCCCACCCCCTCAAAAGCTAACAAAGAATGGCACCGTGGAGTCAGAGGAGGCGGATGGCTTGACTCTTGAGGATGTCTCCGATGATGACATTGACGTCGAGAACGTGGAAGTGGATGACTACTTCTTCTTGCAGCCGTTGCCTACCAAACGGCGCCGTGCCCTCCTTCGGGCTTCTGGGGTTCACCGTATTGATGCAGAGGAGAAACAGGAACTCCGCGCCATCCGTCTCTCCCGGGAGGAATGTGGCTGTGACTGCCGGCTGTACTGTGATCCTGAGGCCTGCGCTTGTAGCCAAGCTGGAATTAAATGCCAGGTCAGTGGAGAACCCGCTAGGCTTTGGCCTGAACTATACTGTGTTGTCCGTGTCTGCACTTTTGGGCCTTGGGCTGTATGCATCCAAGTTCTGCTTGTGGCTCCTGTCTATGTGTTAGCTTTGAGCTTGTAAGGTGGTGCTGTGGAGGTCAGTGGAGCCCTAGGAGCTATTCTGGTAGAAGGTATGCAGTGGCATTGCAGCCTTATTTCTCCATCACTGAGGGAAAAAGAGGAAGTCCCCATCATTTCAGGGGAGCATCTTGAAAGCAAAGGCAAGAATTAGATTCTGCTTGAGGTCTTGACACAGGAGGCAACAAGGTGATTCTCTCCTTTCCACAGTAAGCTAAAAACAGTCCTGTGATGAGGAGAGCCAGGTATTACAGCAATAGGAATCTCCTTCCAGGGCACGGAGGGGTTTTGCATGTGGGATCTGCTGTCTCTCTGCTTCCCTCTAGTGGCTGGCTTGTGAAATTTGTAAATAAAAAAAGCGTGACACAAACTCTGCAACTTTTCTGCAATTTTAAGCACATTGTATGTGCTTCTGGTTTACATTATTCTACTTCTCCTGGCTATGGGAGGAAGGATCAAGGAACTATTCAAATTCCAGTAAACCACTAGAAATCTTGCTTGGATCTTTTCCTAAACCCCAGTATTTTGTCCCTTCTGAAACTTGAGCATTGCCTATGCTCTTGCATGTTATCTTCATATCAGTGAGAGCTGAAGACTTTTTTAATCTTTACATTTTTCTTTATGCAAAACTTGAGGTTCTCAGGCTATGGAATTATTCATCCTGTACCAAAATTTGTGCTGGCACTGGGTAGAATTGTTCTTACCCGCAGCCTTTCTGACACAATCTGAATGTGTGCACTGGCACATCTTCATTCGCATCCTTAATTTTTCCAGACACGCATTCTTCCTCCACCACTCCTCCCTTTTGCATGATAAATCTGCAGCGCTGGTGCAGAATCCCAAGTTGCTTTTTCCTTGCTCCCCTCATGCTAAAAATACAGTATTGATCATTTTGAAAATGAAATATTCCAGGGAGCTCTCCTTGTCCTTCCCAATCTCCTCCTCTCTTTTCACTATAAATAGAATTGGACTGATAGTGTACGTCACTGGTCTTCTCTGGGTTCTCCTGGCACTGTGAAAGAGAGAGGTGGGCTCACTGGGGAACACCTAGAGGGACTGGTGGGGAGCCATGGGCCCCTCGCTGGCCTGCTAGCCTGCTGCTTGTCATGAACAGCCTGCATGGATTGTGCATGCTCCACCTGACCTGATCTGAGCGTATGTTTGCTTCTTCCCACCCTGGCGCAGCTTGCATCTCCTAGTCATTTCCACATTGTTCTTGCTAGGTGCAGTTTCACTGTTCCTCGCTTCCCCTACCCAGGTGGACCGAATGTCCTTCCCATGCGGCTGTTCCAGGGATGGCTGTGGAAACATGGCCGGGCGAATTGAATTCAATCCCATCCGGGTGCGGACTCACTACCTGCACACCATTATGAAACTAGAGCTGGAGAATAAGCGGCAGGTGAGCCGGGCCCAGACTCTGGATGATGAGACTCCTCCCAGCTCCAGCAGTGATTGGCTGGGCACCCAGTCCCCAGAGACGCAGGACTTCCAGGAGTTCATGGCTGAGAATGAGACTGCAGTCATGCACCTTCAGACAGCAGAGGAGCTGGAGCGGTTAAAGGCTGAGGAAGACTCCAGCAGCGGCTCCAGCAGTGTGGAGAGCCTCGGGGTGTGCATTTTGGAAGACCCTCTTGCTGTCTCCGAGGGGATGTGCCCCAGCCTGGCCACACCCATCCTCATTCAGGCCCAGCTGCCACCAGGTTCCTCTGTTCTATGCTTTACGGACAGCTCTGAACAGGCGAGCTCGGCTGAGGGTGACCAGCCCTTCTTGAACAATGGGCCTGTCATGTACTATCAGGTCGACCAAAGGTCGGTGCTGGGGGTGAAAAGCGAGAGCAGTGCAGAGGAGTTGGAGGTAGCCCCTCGCTATACAGAGGAGAAGGAGCTGAGTGTCTATTCTGTCCCCATGGCCTCCCTGGTGCCTTGTGGCCGAGCCACAGCCTCCAGCCGGGCAGAAGCAGGCAAGGCTGCTGTGTCCACAGAGTCCCTTCCTTCCGAGAGCTGTCAGTCTGAAGCTCCTCTGCCAAGCCCGCCCTTCCACACAAACGTGCCGCAGGACAGTTTGCGGCCCCAGAGTGCAGGGCAATCTCCAGAGAGCAGTTGCGAGCTTCCGTCTTCTGAGGAATGCTCCCTGGGACCGGCTCTGACTGCATGACACACCCCAGCCCAGCTCAGCTCTTATCTTGACGATGTCTATTTATTGACAGTGGTTTTACCGAAAGGCCTGAGCCACTGGAAATTATTTAAGGGGGGAGGGGGAGAGGAGGTGGACTGCTTTGTACAGGCTCACCCTAAATTTAACTAAATCAAGCGCTTATGGCTGCCTCAAGGTAAGAGGGTCCTTTTGCAAATCGGGTGGCCTCTTGAGACTGACGGGGCTGGACCATAGACAAGGGACAGTCCAGACAGAGCTGCTATGTTGGAGGCACCTTACCCCATCCTACAAGGACCAAACGTGAATGTGTCTCATGGAAGCAATAGAGCGAAGCTGCCTTTCTCCTAAAGCGCTTGGCAGGTTTGGGGCAAGGGGGGCAGAAGAGGACTGTGTTACTGCTATTCAATATCAAGAATCTGTATGTGCAGTGGAATCTCCTTCTCCATCCAGTTGCTCATCCCAGGTGAAGCGGCTGCCGTCTGTACCATCCTGTCATCTTCCGTGCTTTGTCTTCTTGGTAACTGTGATCTTACCTGCTTTAACAGCTTTGACCCATTTACACACCTTAGGCTGTACAAACGTTTTATTTATGTGACATTTGCGACACTTCTTTCCCTGGAAAAACTATATATATTTTTAAAAATTCAGTGCGGATTAACTTTGATCATGACTGGCCACATCTACAGTTTGGCATGCAACTGTTGGACAGAACCATTTTCACTCTGGAATCTCCTGGCCTTACCAGTAGCTTCATCCAGACTGTCTCTGTCTTGCTGGCCCTCAGTGGGGACTACCGAGATTAATTGGATTAAATTATTTTTAAATGTGCTGACTGTTTACTAGTGCATATTGTGAGCCCATGACCTGTAGCTGACTCTCCAGTGTGCATTCTGGGCTGTGGGGGGATCTGCTGCCTCCGTGACTTTCAAGCCCTCCTGGGGTCTGGTTCTATGAACAACGACTGCACCAGGGTGCAGTAAAGTTCAACTTCTCAGTGGAGATTTAAGTCTCTGTTGAAGTTTCTGGTGGACAGAAGGTATACAGAATACTTGTCCTTCTTCCGTCCCATCATTTTATGATTTACCCCCTTCTCTTCAGCTATGATAGGATGTTCCATTCTGGTTGCACAAGCTTGGAGAGGAAAGCCTTCTGTTCCTCCGCTTTCTGAGAGCAGCCTAGCATTCTGGATGCATTTGAATGGCAAGAGGCCGATATGCAATGGAATTGCAGCCTGGCACATGGCAAGCACAGGGCCAGTGCAAGTGCAATAGGGTGGCAATGGAGGGAACGCCCGCATTTTATGCATCGCTGTGGTCTCCATCTCAAGGAGGTGTGCAATTAACTGTTCCAGTTAGTCCTGGAATAGAAGGGGAGAGAATGGGGTAACAGTAGAGGTGTCACTCTCCCTCTTTATTTTAGCGACCACTTTCCTCCCTGTAGAATAACAAAAGCACTTTTACCCTCCACTGTCCTAGGCATCTTTCTCCCATATGTTTTTGTCATGTATAGATTATTGCTTTCCTCTACCTGTCCTGACCCAGAAAAAGGGAACGGTAGCTGTGCTGGTCCAGACGCAGAAAATCCAATATGCATACCAGCAGTTGAGTGAAGGGTCATCTTTTGGCTTCAACCTATCCCATAATGGTTAAGGGTAACTATGTATCTTTGCAAACCCATTTAGAAGAGCCCAAGCTTCTGAGATGGATCTAGCTCTCTGGTGTACTGAAGCAAATGCCCAGGAAAGGGCCAGCAGGGATGAGAAAAGGATTGCTTGCGACTTGTCCTTTCACCCACAGTGCTACAACCCATGGAAATCTCCTATTGCTGTGTGGATGGGACCACAAAACTGACAGATTTTAACTATAAAAAGCCTTCACTATGAATCTTCCTTTTTTCCATCCAGAGCTTTCCTTGTGCTTTTTAGTGCATATGATACACTGGAAACTTACGTGCTTTGCCTCATTGTTAAATACTTGCCATCTCACCGCCTTCTGTTGCAGTGAATGGTCTAGAAATGGTACCAGTGTGTTCAGGAGGCAGACCTCTCCTCTGTGCGATTGCTTTTGAATGGGGGAGAGCCCCTCAGGCAATGCTGAATATAGCCTTAAAATGTCTGTCACGGTCCCACTTACAGCCTCGCAAAGCAAATGGTCGTACACATGGATGCTTCTTGGGCGGCCACATACGCACACGCGCCAGGCTTTGTGGCTGAGGGCTCTGCTGCTCATGTTTGGAGTTTTCTTCCATGCTTCCCTGCTGCCTAAGGTCTCCTTGGGTCTTGAAAGGGGCACTGGTACCTAAGAATCCTTCCCAATCTCCATATTAGTCGTTTACAAAATAAAAGGTGCTATAAAAAGCTGGCTTTATTCTTAAAGGCAGCCATTTCTAGATGTGACCCTCTCAGCAACGTAAGACTGGTGTGCCTGACTTTGGAGCAAACGGATCCCAGCAGTGAGCTGAGATATGCTTCCTCTAGAAAACTGCACAGACTGTCCTCCCAGTCCAAATGCACAAATGGCAGGTCCGTGGCCCTCTTAGGATCACCTTGGAGCACTGTGGGCACCCATTTTCCAGTGTCACCTGCCTCTACACAAGGGACAGCCAACTGCTCCAGGGCCATTTGCACTGTGGGCTTCCTGCTCTTAGTGAAGGCAGGAGGACGTGCCTTTTTCCTGGAATCCTTTTGCTTCCAGCTTGACTGTTGCAGCAGTGAGCTCCAGGCACCTGTGCGACAGACATGCCCAGGAGTGTCAAGCCTGACCACCAGCCCCTTCCCTTGATTTTCTAGCCGTTAACTGCCCAGTGTGTGGTGTTTGTTTTTAGGACTGGCTGTGGTCAGCTTTCAGCTGAAGAGGTTTAAATGGGGCTCACCTCAGCGCTTGTGTCTCTGACAGCGTGTCTCCTCCTCCTCCTCCTCCTCCTCCTGTGGAGCACTTTAACTGCAGCTCCCCTTCACCACATCCCAATACTGACAGATGGTTTGCTGGAATATCCTTCCTTCAAATGGAAGCAACTTCACACTTAAAATATCAAAGCACTATTTTTAAAACACTAGTAGGAGTTCTCACAGCTAAAATTCTAAGATGCAAAGGATGTTAACTAGGTTGATAAAAACCTAACTGAGTATATACCCACTGGTATATATTCCCTCCGAGAGGAGAGCAGGCACTGGAAGCATCTAAGCTGCTGTACTGGCCTTGTGCCATAATTGTCTCCATCAGCCAGCAAGGCCTATCTGCTCTTTTTTGTGTCTGTGACCTTGGAATAATAAACCAGTGCTTTGCTTCATTCAAAAGGAAAAGTGACTTGGTTGCACATAAAATTGGCTTTAAGGAAATAGGGTATGAGAAACTGAGAATGTGAGCTAGTGGTGTAAGTGAAGCTACAGAATCTTAACTCTAAATCCTGTAGTAGGAAGCAGAGATTTGAGTTCTTAAAAACCATTTGTTTAAGGAATGCTCTTTAATGCAAAAGTATATCCTTCTCCTCTTGCCTGGCTTAAAAAAAATACACTTCTGATCTACTAATGTTGGTATCACACATTCATCACAAAGTAACTTTTTTGTAGTAAAACATCCTCTCCCCACACTCCTTTTTGGTGCTACTGAACTGTTTACATGGGAGCAGCCCTTTTACTACCTGTTTAGAAGACACCCTTTATTTACTAAGCCCTGGTCCTGAGACATTTGGTACAAGCTCTGTCCTTGCTACATCAGTTGTGACTCTGATACCTTGCTCTCTGCTCTCCTGCATTACATGGTATACAGGTGGCATTTTCAATGTGAATCCAAAGCTTGTCAGGTCCTTTACATTTTGTTTTGCCTTTTATGTTCTTTTCATTGTGATAATGCTGTATTTAAAGAGGATATTTAAGTGTAAAAATAAAAAAAAAATGCTTGAACTTGCACTGAGAAGCTTCTGAATTCTCCTTTTTAGACGTTAATCTTGCACAAAGCAGTCTATTCCATATATACTTCGTGCATGTAGTGGAACAGTATGCAAGAAACCTTTGTAATCTCCTAATTCTGGTTACAGTGCTGAGCATGCCACACGTCACACTCCTCTTCCTGATCTGAGCATAGTGCATCAGTGTCTGCAAAAGTACTAAATCAGACAATCATAATGAAGCTGTACCAAAACCTGTTTGAGGAAGAATCTCATCAGGGCTACTCTACACACATCCCTGCACCATGGCTAAAGCAAATCATGGAAGGGGCAGGCCATCCAGGGATGCTCCTAGTCCAAGGATGATTACAGATGCAACATTGTGTACCTGCACCAGGATACTGAGAAGGCCATTGCTTTCTAAAGCTGGTTTTTTGCAAGTTGAAGGGCTGGCTTACCCATGCTTTGCATTAGTGGAGTCAGCTTCCTTCCTTCATACTGAAATTTCAGGACAGCCTTTCACCAGCAGTGTGACTTACTGCCCTGTAGAAAGGGTTTAAAGACTAGCCTACAGGTTGAAATTAGTTGGAAAAGCATAAGCAGAGTTTGACAAGAGACGGAAGCCGTTAGCTCTGCTTGGCTGGAATGGACAAAGGAACGCTTGCTGCAAGGAAGAACGGGCATGGTTTTGTTGGGGATGCCACTTGCCTGTGTGCTACGTAAGCTGCACCTTGAAGAGGAAAGAGCAGCAGCAGCAGCTGTGGTGGTTCCTGGAGAACACCAGTCAGTTCAAGATCCTCAAGCCCAATCCTAGGCTGTTAGCACAGACTCCTAGGAGCAAGTCTTGAGAACACAAAGTACAGCCTTTCAAAGGATGCAGGACCCTGGTAAAGTATCACATACTGTTGTCCTTTATTAACCATCTTTAAGGAAATAGTCACATTTCAGTTACAATACACTTGAACAGCCATTCACATTACTAATTCTTCACACATTTTTATAACAACTAATTTGACTACTACTTTACCAAAGGTAGGAGTGTCCCGCTCCTTTATATTTGGGCCAGAATTCCAGCTTCTGGTGTGCAAGACTTGGCCTTTTTCACTGGGAGACTTTTTAGACCTGTTTCATTATCACTTAAGTGCTGTGGAAGTATTTAAGACTTAGGATATAATGAATCTTGAGTCAGAAAAGTCCTACAACTTCCAGGATTGTGGAAACTTGTAAGAGATTTTTCTGTCCAAACATGCACAGGATTGCACCCTTGGAGGTACAGAAGTAGTTGTGTACATTTTTATTTTATCAGCAGGGTGTCACAATCAAATTAATGGCACTGTACAATGGTATAACAACTGCAAATACCTTGTTTAATTCTGAACCACCTTGGCCAAAATGAAATGCACTTTTAATAAAGCTTATGCAACGGAGTGATCTCTTTCTTAACAGAAGAGCTTTTTCCAAGTATTAATAGGATTTCAAATAGAGGTGGCTCAGAAAGAACTGATTCTTGCTCTTGTTTTTGCACCATGTCATAACAGAAAATGACTGAGCTTCCCATCCAGTGTTGTTAAATCAACATTATTCTTCAATGAAATTAAAACGGGGCAGCTACTGAAGCATCAGAAAAACTTAGTTACTCAGCACTTACTACCTGAGAACGTAGGGCTTGGCGCTGGCTGGTACTGAAAGTGTCACAACTATGAGGAGCCCGGGTCTTGGGTTCTGGGCAAGACTTCTTCAGCTCTCTCCCCATTGGAAATCCATATGCTGTCACGGCAGGGCCACAAGGTCATTGTTGACATGGACCTGGTGGAATCTTCTGTGCTTGCAGTTCGTCTAGCGCCATCTTGGCAATTCTCCTGATTCTCTCCAAAGCAGTGGGAACGTCTTACTCATGATGCAGTGTTTCTTCTACCCTTCTTTTCTGGGCTAATAATTTAGTTGGAGAAACCTCTTGCGCTGGACTCCTGCCACTCTGACCGTAAGCAAAAATCCAATCTCCCCTACTGGTTAAGTTGAGTTGCTGTCGAAGCATCTTTTCAGAAAAGGTCTAGGAGAGGTTGCCATCAGTCAGTCTTTGATGAAAGGGTTGAAGTTAGTGGAAAGTAAGACCATGCTGTGGGCCAAGAGTGAAACCTCAGAGTCTGCCAAAAGGAGCAAAAACAAACATCTGAATGAGAGTCCTGAATTACGGAAGCAGGAAGGGGACAACTGCATGTGTTTGTTAATCACAGTTTTACTGCTAAGGTCCCCAACTTGGGTAACAGAATGTTGTACTAACAACGCAGGCTTTGCGTCATGCCCCTAGTGTTGCCATTCCCAAAACATTCCCCCAAATGGAGTCACCAATGGCCTCAGTCCATTCTCCTCTATCCCAAACACTCCTACAAAATGCACTGAAAGTGCTCTTGATGCCTTTGCAAATCATTCCCACACCCCTTACACTTTCGTCCTTGTCCTTATTTTGCCTTGCCTCAAATGGCTGCTTCTCAAACACGTCAGCTCTGAAGTCTCATTCACCCTTAACTTTCAACCATTTCTCCCAATGTCCCCATTCCCTGGGGTTCCCAGAACAGGCAACAGGGCCACTTCCCCCAAAGCCCATGTTTCCCATCAGGTGTTTAAATCAGGACCCACTCCTTCAGCATGATCCTACCCCACCTTTCAGAGCTTTGAGGGATGCCTCGCTTGGTGTTCTGCCACCAAATAAACTGCAGCAGATGAATGTGTGGGAGAGGCCCTCTCCTCGGTCTGAAATTCCCTGCAAGAGGCCTGCAGTAAATGCTGCTGAAACCACAACCTGAACAATCCAGGTCTCCGCAATCTCTCACTTCACCTGCAATTGCAACTTTGTTCCCTACCTTTTCCTGTGGCCAGGAGGCCACTGTTACTGAACAGAGCGCCGAGCTTTTCAGAACTGTTTCTTGTGCACTTGCCTTGCTAGTTTAAGAGTGCAAGGGTCCATTTAGTCAAATGGATGTTAAGTGGGTACGATGGGCCACGATAAACACTAAGGGTACAAATACAAACTCATCTGTGATGTATTCCAAAAGGAGCAAAGGGCTAGGCTGAACCCCCTTAGACGTAACCTGATGCTGAGTTTACATGGCATGCCATGCCTTCATTCTGGATTATTTAACCTGCAATGAGTAGCAGTGTTCATGGGCACAGATGAGCTATGCAGGGAGTTCCTGGTTACAAACAAGTTCCTTTCCCAAGAAAACAAAAATTTGTCTTTAAGTCGAATTGGTATGCAAGTTGGATTGCGTATAGTCAGTCCTCCAAACTCATGAGGGCTAGGGGTGCCGGAACCCTGTCAAAGGGCAAAAAATGCAACTCTCTCCCTGCCCCACAACTCAACAACACTGCTTCTTTGCAGCAAGGAAATGCCAGAGAGGCTTCCCTCTCCAGATGCAGGGAGCACAGAGGCATGCTTTGGAGGCTCCACTGCCCTTTCACTTCCTCTCTCTCTATGGTAATGATGATTTTCTGCAGTAACTAAACAAAAATTAATAGACTTTACTGTAATTCATTCGTAAGTATGGGCTGTTCGTAACTTGGGAACTGCCTGAACAAACCCCGACCATGGTCTATTTAACCTTTCCATAACTTGTTTGGTTCACACAACAACCCAAATGAAGCCTGCATATTTAAAATAGTAGCTACACGTCACAGTGGGCTGTATTAGTGTCCTGCCTTGGAGTTCTTTGCTGAAAGAGTGGCATTTGTCACTGCCAAAAGTTCAGCAGCAAGTTTCCCCTTGTTTGAATCCTGGGATGCTGTCCCAGACAGTGCTAACTAATGGCTCCAGGAAATTCTTGCTTTTCTTCTTGGTAATCCACAAGACTTTTCATCTGCTTCCTCCAATTCTGGTTTTGACATGCTCTCCCCCCTCTCAGCCCTTTGCAACAATTTAATAACATTTCCATTGACACAGGTAGCCATATTTACTGATGAAGCAATTATGTACCAGATAAACAATACACGTATCTTTTTAAGGCCTGGGAAACAGATTCCATTGTGCCCTGCTATGAAAGGATGAGCAGAAGAAGCAGAGAAGAGCAATGTGACCACCAGTGTCTACTCCCTCACCAATGCCAGAAAAAGGAGGAGTGGGAGGGATCAACAGAATCCAGTTTCTTCCAGGCTGCGGGGGGTGGGGAAGATGGGAGGGAGGGAGGGAGGGAGGCAGGGATCTCCGAGAAGAGTTTTAACAGAAGCTCTCTTTTCTAGAATTCAGCCAGTCTTACCTTTCAGCGAGCTGGAAAGTGCTAGCCATTGGTTTAGCCAAAGCCTGCAAGCCATGGTGTTGAGGTGAACAGAGTCCAAGCCACGGATATAACAAGCCTAGAAAAGACAAGGAAGACACTGTTGGATACATGAAGATGCTTCCATTTTGCTAACCATCACCAAACCCAAGGAGGTGTATTTCCTAACATAAGGAACTGATGTTTAAGTCATGAAGGCTGCTCTGGTTACATGCATGGCAAGCGAAATTGACAGTAATGTTGCTTAAATGGGCTTGCATAGGCTATCTGCGCGTATAGCACCATGTTATAAGAAATGAAAAGACTTAGAAGCCTTGCTACTAAGGGATTCAAGCATACAAAATCTGAACACAGTAGATACCAGTTCTGATTTATCTGTGCTAGGGACCCCCAATGGTGTTTACCTATGTCCCGACCTGCCCCCTGCCGCATTGTGTTTTTAGATTAAAGATATCTTAAAATAAGTTTCTTTTTAAATGGGAGGCTAGTTACAGCAAAGCAGCATGCCCGCCTCCAGCACATTCTGTATTTTCGCCTCACTCATTTGTCTTCTGGAAGTGTGCCCCTTATGGGTGGCCACACCCCATGGAAGCCATTTTGCGAGAATGCCCGTAGCACTTTCATCAACACCCCAAATGTGCTCCCCAGCCATAAAAGCTTAAGCATCACTGACCTAAGCCATTAAGGAAGCAGCTGCAAAAAGCGACAAGGCCCAAATGCAGAATGAGACCTTCCCCTGTATGGCTCTGCAGCACAATTGTAATGCATTTTAACACAAGAAAAGCGTAGCAGAATTTCAAGCATTAGTGATCGTCTGAAGTTCTTCACTGGTTAAAGAGCTGATAACTGCTCAGTAAACACTGAACGTCATCCACAATATTAGCTGTACTCTTTATGCAGGGCAGGGTACTATTTTGGTTTTCTCAGCCTTCTATTATCATTACTACTCATTTCCCTCCAAGGGTCCCCACACACAAATTGCCCTACAAAGGTGCACCCTTGGCAGGAACTCCGGACTGGTTCCCAGTCAACGGGCAGTGCAATCAGTGCAGCATCTCATACAGATTCTGCCTCACCACTGCGACTTCTTCATCTGTCAGCTCTTTCACTCCCAGTTGCAGCATGGCTTGGTCCAGGAGGTGCAGCTCCAAGAGGTGGCTTTGCAGGCGGTATCTCAGGAGGAGGGATGGCAAGTGAGGGGTCAGGAACAAAACACGACTTAGCGCTTTCTGAGGAAGAGAAGACAAATGTGGGATGAAAAGGCCCTAGGCGGTCACTCACAGCTGCCCTGTTTTCCAGCGCGACATGGGGAGTAAAAGCAGGCATGTGCATCACTTTCTGGAAAAAACCCTAAACACACATGCAAGGTAGCATGAATGGATCAAGGAGAGCACATGCTGTAAGAGTCCCAATTTAAGCAACCACAGCTGGGAAGAAAGTAATTTCTTGCTTTTCCAAGAGGCACAGCAAGAAAGCAAGAAAGAACAAGTCATGGTAGAGGATTCATAAAGGAGCAGGTGGGCCATCAGTATATTTTTATTTAATTTCTTGAACAGTACTTACCACTTGCTGAGCTTTGAGCTGCTGGATGCCAAAAGGATGGTCCACAAACAAGGTCTTCACTGCTTTAAGTTCGGCTATGTCTGGGTGGCATCCCTCATGAACCTTGAAAATTAAGAGCTGGTTACTAACAGAAAACACCATAATGCATTCCAAGAATAAAGGAGTAAGTGAGCAATATCCACTGCTGAGCCCATGCAAGACCCTCTACAAAGCCAGTTCACTGTATATCTGAGCACATTTTAACCAGTAGCAAGACGTCCCTTCACTGCAACCATCATGGGCTGGCATACCCTCCCATTATGTTTCACCATTACTATGCAGAAAGTTGCTGTACCATGTGCAAGGTTCTACCTGGCTGCATCAGAGGAGCAGGTGCGACAGAGAAGCCCCTCAACCAGCCTGGCAAGGGCCTTTGGCTCTCTTTCCAGAATCATCTCGTGCGAGGCAGGGGTACCTGAATGTGCTTATTAGCCACTCCCTCCAGATCCCCTTTCCATCAATCTATTAAAATTGTAAGCCATCACTTTGAACTGTAAAGCACTCAAAGTGCATTTATAAAAGGGTAGTATATAAATTTCAAATCAATAATAAGCAAGGCATGAATACCAAGCTATCATTTTTCTTGCTAGGACGAGATAAGGGAAGGACACAAGATAATAGTTTGCTCCAAATTAGACTTTTGTATACGAGTTGCTATAAAGCTTCAGATCCAGCTATGGCACTGAATCTGCCTTGCTCGCCCCATATGATGACCTGTGCATGGAGAGGGACAGGGGAGGTGCATCCCTGTTGGTTCTCCTGGACCTCTCAGATCAGTGGCTTTCAGTACCATCAACCATGGTATCTTTCTGGATAGGCTGGCCAGGGTGAGCGTTGGAGGCACCACTTTGCAGTGGTTCCACTCCTACCTGCCTGGCTGATTCCAGGTGGTGGTGCTGGGGGATTGTAGCTCTGCACCATGGCAACTTTTGCCATGGAATTCTGCAGGGCTCCATTCTATCCCCCATGCTTTTTAACATCTACATGAAACATCTACATGAAAGGTCATCCGTACGCTGATGATACCCAGCTCTACCTCTCTTTTACACCTAATCCAGCTGAGGCAGTGGCTGTGCTGAACTGGTGCCTGGCCGGGGTCATGGGCTAGATGAGGGCCAATAAACTGAGACTTAATTCAGACAAGATGGAGGTCCTGTTGGTGGGCAGTTCAGTCTTCCAGGTTAGTGTTACTAGCCCTGTCCTGGACGGGGTTGCACTCCCCGTAAAGGATAGGGTTTGCAGTTTGGGAGTGCTCCTTGACCCAGAGCTGCCCTTCAGCTTCAGCTGAACCACCAATTGTGTCCTTACCTGGATTAGCACTGCCTTGCAACGATCACCCATGCTCTGGTAACTTCCCGATTAGATTACTGTAACACACTCTATGTGGGGCTGCCCTTGAAGACGGTCTGGATACTTCAGTTGGTCCAGAATAGAGCTGCCAGGATATTAACGGGGACCGGCAGGTATTCACATATAATGCCAGTCCTCTATCGGTTACACTGGCTGCCAGTTGAAGTCTGGGGCCAATTTAAGGTGCTGGTGATGACCTATAAAGCCCTAAACAGCTTGGGTCCTGGATACCTGAAGGGGCGCCTTCTTCCCTATGTGCCCTCCTGCCCCTAGAGATCTGAGGTGGAGGTCCTGCTCTGCGAGCCCTCCTTGAAGGAGATCAGGAGGGTGACTACCCAGAAGAAGGCCTTCTCTGTGGTGGCGCCCTGACTACGGAATACACTCCCCAGAGAGGGTCATCCGATGCCAACGTTCTGTTCTTTTCGGCGTCAGGCAAAACCCTTTATATTTTCCTGTCATTTTAATGTTTAATTGATTTTAACTCAGGTTTTAGTATTTCAATTGTCAGACGCTGTGGTTTTTTTTTTTTTATTCTACTCGTTTTATTGTAAACCATCCCAAGATGCTAGTGGCAGACAGGGAAATAAATAAATAAAGGCTCGGGCATACCTTTAAAATCATCTAAGGCATCAGACATTTACAACGAAGTGATGGAATAAAGGAATAATGAAGAACTCGGATCATGATTAGCCAACACAGAACATATAAAAGCCTTATTTCTGAGGAGCAAGGTATCTATAGCTAAAGACCTACATGAGTGCTTCTGTCAACTGGGATCCTTTGAGGAAACTAGTTACCTTTTTGCAGAGATCTAGCATCTGTTTGCGAAGCTCCGGATCAGAGAGGACATTAGACAGGTTCTTCAAACCATCAACCACTTCGGCATATGCCTTCTTCCGCATATTGTGGTAAGTGCCCAGAAACTCAGCTTGCTGTTTCATAGTCCAGAAGTGACGCATCAAGAGCTGTCTTGGAAACAGATACCTTGGGAAAGAGATTATCCAGAAATGACAGATTTCCAAACCAAGCTGCAGCAAGGCCAAGGCAGAGGTGTGTACGGTGTGCTATACAACATCCGATCTGATCCAAGGGGAACCTGTTTTCTGCACCAGGAAATGTCATTGCACAGCTTCTCTTGTTCATGTAAGTTTTGCCTATTTTTATACAACTCAAACTGCTGCTTCTGAAAGCCAAGGTGAGGAGCAACTCAAAACTGAAGTTCTTCGTCGTGGGCTCTGTGCATCACACATATGGGTGCTGCGCCTGCGCAGTGCCTAAGGCCGGAAAGATGGCAAAGCTGACGGTTTTTGGCGGGAAACCCTGCTCCCCTCCCCCACAATGCTATAAATAGAGCGGAGTGTCCGCCATTTTCTTAGTCTTTTGCGACTGCCGTTCGCTGTGCCTCAAGGCTTCTCTTTCTCATATCGTATTACTTTTACCGTTAATCTTCTTGTTACTAGTTAGTGTTTATTCAGTTTCCAAGTTACTCTTCCTGTTCGAGTTCTTCCTACTCTCCTGTTAAAAAATAAATAAATCCCAAAAATATTATCTTACCCTCTTTACTATCTTCTCCTTTTTCCTTTCCGATGGCGCAGCGTACAGGCTTTCGTAAATGTTCCCAATGTGGGTCAAAGATGTCGCCAGCTGACCCACATGATCTGTGCCTCCTTTGACTTGGCGAGGGGCACAGGACGGATAAGTGCGGCCATTGTCAGGCCTTCACGAAGCAGGCAAGGAAGAATCGTGAAAACCGCCTGTGAAAAATTCTTTGGGACCAGGCCCTAATGCAGTCTGACCAACTGGCTGCTAAGACTGCTTCGGCTTTGGCTTCGGCTTCTGCTGCACCTCCTCAACGCCCATCGGCTGATGGGGCCCAGGTTGTCGAGACCCAGCAACCTCCTCCTTCTCCCCACAAGAAAAAGGAGACAAGGAAGCACGGAGGCTCCGATAAATCTTCCAGTCATAAGAAGCCGAGGAAGGAGAAGTCGGATAAGACAGCTCGTAAGCCTAAGAAGCCAGATCTGGGTCGGCACCGTGATTTGGAATCGTCTGCACCATCGATCCCAATGGCCGCGATGGTACTGACGCCGATGGGCCCGTCCCTGCTAATTGCTATGCAGGTGACGCCTCCAGGGTCCCCTAGATGGGTCATTCTCTCATAGCATTCATCGCCCGAGCGACCCAACATGCCGCTTCACGAATCAATCTCGGATGGTGAGATTCATGATTCACCACCTACGGCATGCTCTCCGACGCCGATGCCGCAACCGGCACCAGTCGCATCCCAGCACAGGCACCATCATTCACCGGAACAGCCCTTGGAGGAATGGGACCAACCCCACTATACTAGTCACCGCGGGGGTTGGGATGAATATTCATCATTTGCCTATTACCCATTGGCTTGCTCTCCGGTACCAAGAGAAGACCCGTCTACCTCCAGGCCATCGTGGTCAGGGCATCTCGCCTCTCCAGGGGAATCATCCTCTAGCGGCCCAATGCAGTATGGGTACGAGTCAGATGACTCCGAAGTGGATTCGACTTCCCCTGACTTAGCCATCACCACTCAGGGTCCGGGATCGCCTGAGGAACCCCACGTCACCTTCGGGGAGCTGATGGCTAGGCTTCTCTGTTCGCTGGAGATCGAAGCACAACATCGAATCGATCCCAGCATGGACAAGTTCTACGACATCGTCAGAGGCGAGCAATCAGCAGCTATTATCCTACCACTGATTACCACCCTACACCAGGCTATGGTGCAGCCCTGGGATCTGCCCACCCAACCACAACCAACGTCGAGGAGGTACGGATATACCATTTCTCCTGCACCACCTGAAGCCAAACTCGGTGGTCGTCGAGTCCTCTCAGGGAAGAATCGTGGGGCCACCCCACCCCACCGCGAGACCACACCATAAAGAAGGGCGGAAGATAAGATATGCTGGTGCATCCAGTCTATGCGGCCTCTGGACTCGGGCTCCGCATATCTAACTATGAGGCAATGCTGGTCCGGTATCAGTATTTCCTCATGCAAAAGCTTGAGAATGTCATCGCTTAGATACTGGACCAGCAAAGGGACCTAGCAAGCGTCTTCATCAAGGAGGCCATGCAGCAGGTCTTGATACAGCAGCTGTCTATGGCTAGACATCATGTGGACTCCGATTCCAGGGCTCTGGTAAGTGCCATCTCCCTCCACCGGCATGCATGGCTGCGGAGTTGCAATTTCTTCGATGAGATGAAGCGTCAAATCAAGGAAATGCCGTTTGACGATTCCGGCCTCTTCCACTCCAGAACGGACCACAAACTCAAGTCTATATATGAGTCAAGGATGACAGTGCGTCGTATGGCGCTCCCTGCCCAGCAGAGACGTAAGTGGACGTGGTCCCATCCTTCGCATCGGCCCCAGCAATATTCCCAATTTCCAGGGAGGCAACACTTCCAGCAATGTCAGCAGCATTGGAAGCAAACCCCGCAGCAGCAGTTCCAACAGGGTCATCATTATGATTCCAACAAACACCAACACTGATGGGTTTCGCGAACCTCTCCTCTCCTCCTGCTCCCACCTTCTCCTCTCCCATTTGAGGAACGGCTGCAAAGCTGACTCCCCATTTGGGAGTCCATCACATCTGATAGGTGGGTTTTATCCATCATCCAGCTCAGATACAGAATAGAATTCAACTGTTCCTCCATCGGGTCCGATCCGATTTACACCACGCTCATCAGTGCTAGTGGATGAAGTTATCCAACTACTTCGTAAAGGAGCGATCCGACAGATTTCCTGCTCTGAGGGACTTCACGGATTCTATTCAAGATACTTTACTGTTCCTAAATGGGATGGTGTTCTCCGTCCGATCCTAGACCTAAGGGACATTAATAGGTGTATCAAACCTAAGACGTTTTGGATGACCACCCTTCAGAATATCCTTCCTTTGCTGAGGAGAAAGGATTGGTTTGCCTCCCTGGATTTAACAGATGCTTACTTTCATATTTCAATTCATCCCGGCCATAGGCGTCTCCTACGTTTCGCCATCGGTTCCAACATACTTGAATTTAATGTACTTCCAGTTGGCTTAGCCACCGCTCCACGGATCTTCACAAAATGCATGGCCCCAGTTTGCACATACCTCCAGCTTCAGGGTATTCAAATATACCCTTACTTGGACGACTGGTTACTAGTTTCCCAGACCCGGGAAGGTCTTCTATCAGCTGTGGACACAACTTGTTCCTTGCTGGACAATCTGGGACAGTGTATTAATCGTGAGAAATCATCCCTTGTCCCCTCGCAGGTGATTGACTTTACTGGAGCATGTCTCAACTCCGCTCTAGCGTGAGCATTTCTTCCTCCAGCTCGTCATGACAACCTTTTCTCATGGATCCACCGAATTCGACGAGACAGGACTGTTCCAGCTCTCTCGATCCAAAAGCTTCTGGGTCATATGGCCACGTAGGTGTCCATCATTCCTCACACCAGACTTCGACTACGACCACTTCAGCTGCACTTCAACAAGATGTTTCATCCACAACGGGACTCGCCTACCAAGCTGACTTCCGCTGTTTGTCCTACGCACACTAGAATGGTGGACAATTCCGGACAATTTGTAGGTGTTCTGTTCCGACTACCTCACCCCACTTTGACTCTGTATACCGATGCATCTTTGATTGGTTGGGGTGCCGTTTGTGCAGGACTACGGATGCAAGGCACTTGGGATCGACAGGAATCAGTCAGGCACCTCAACTATCTTGAGCTTCTGGTGATTTTCAAAGCTCTTTGATCCTTCGAGGACACTGTACAGCGGCACGTGGTGCAGGTCATGTTGGACAACATGGTCGCTGTGTTCTATGGGAACAAGCAGGGCAGGACGAAATCCACACCTCTAGCTTGGCTGTCGATGAAGATTTGGGATTGGTGCATCCCGAAAGACACTACCCTTCTGGCGGTTCACCTAGCCGGTACCGACAACAAGGAGGCAGACGTTTTGAGCAGGTGAATGTCGACAACTCACTAGTGGGAGTTAGATTGACAAGTTTGCAATCAACTTTTTCGATGTTGGGGACAACCAGACATGGACTTGTTCGCTACCCACGAGAACAGGGTATGTGAAGCGTTCTGCTCCAGGGCGGACATTGAACCGGGATCAATGGGGGATGCCCTCATGGTCCCGTGGTCCAGCATCAACTTTTATGCTTTCTCTCCGAGTCCTCTGATTACAAAGGTCATATCAAAGATCATCCATGACAATGGATGGGTATCCATCCATACCAATGGGTATCCTGATCACACCCTGGTGGCCCCATCAAGCGTGGTTCTCCACCCTCCTCCGTCTATCCGACAACAATTTTCTCCGCCTACCATCCGTGCTCACCTAATAACGCAACAGGGAGGAGCTGTTCGTCATCCGGATCTAACTTCATTGAACCTCACAGCTTGATGGCTCAAATGATCCACACTACCGACTCGGTATCGACGGCAACCCATTCACCTCGACTTTCCAGTTACGAGACTGAGACACCATTCATTCACTCAGAACCGATAGACTTTGCCTCAGGATTAAATTCTCTCGATCCAGATATACAATGCATTCTCAAATCTGTGTTAAGACCATCAGCGCACAGATCCTACGCAGCAAAGTGGCGTCGATTCTCCTCTTTTGCAGAGTCCAACTCGTTTGCTGCTCAGTCGGCATCCGTCGAAAACATCCTGCAGTTCCTTTTAGAGTTGCATCACTCGGGACTTAAACCTTCATCTATAAAGGTTTACACAGCTGCAATCTGTCTTCTCTCAACCAATTATTAGAAGATTCATCAAAGGACTGCAGAATCTTCACCCAACAGTTCGTCCTGTTATGCCTATGTGGAGTCTCTTCGTTATACTTCAAGCTCTCACCAGAGCCCCATTCAAACCTCTGGCGACTATTGACTTACGACTCTTGTCTTGGAAGACTGCCTTCCTCGTAGCTGTTACTTCGGCCCGAAGGGCTAGTGAACTTTGT